TTTGGTATCAGTATTGTCCAAGAGGCACCTTCATGTAAGACAGTTTTCTGCCTATTTGAATCTTAAGACTATACTCGTAACCAATGTAATATTTACATTTATATAAAAATGTTTAAGGTGGAGTATTCGAAGTAATGAAAAAATTCATCACAGATAGGCAAAACCATATCGGATGTTCCATTTGCAGTCACGTGTGCTTTATCACCCAGGAATGTTATTTTTAGCGACGTGAATGTGAACAGATCAGATTTGTGTACTAACCACGTGGAATGCCGTGACGTTGGTTGGTGCAATCTGCCACTTGCTCAACCAACTTGTGTCAGTGTAGAAGCCACGGAAATGCCTTTTAAATTTGTCTTGCTGAGCCGACAAAAGCGGGTCATTTGAAAAAAAAACTTGAAAATTGACGTTTACAGTGGTTACTATTCAATGGCATGAAGGCGCATTCTATAATTTACAACTGCTAATTGTAAAGGCGGCATTGCCTTTGCCTCGAACAAATGATTTTATCTAAATTCAAGTGAAGGAAAGGTCGTTTGATATTCGAATACTGGGCACCCTTGCAACATACCACCTTTGTGGAAGATAAACTACTAGCGCGCCAAAACCGGCCTCTTCACATTCCAAAGCACTTAAGTAGATGCAATTACCTACCCTGACGAGTTAATTGACCTTTAACAGAACTCGGCCTTTCCAGATTTTAAATTTGACCTTGAGACCACACTGAGGCGGACCGTTTCTGTACTACTTAGGGCCGGGATTGTAATTATGGCATTTTTGGCTAACAAATTTAGGAAACCTCACGTTATTGGTTAAAAAAACATCCAAACTGTAAGAAGGTTGCGAATAAGTTAGATGTATTTCCAGTTTGTGATGCAGTCTTGTTTGCGGGTTGGGTTCATTTCTCACTCTGTACAGTTAATGACTTATTGGTTCAGGCTAAATAATTATATTTCATCCATCCACTCGATTGCAAGTACGTCCACATCGCATTTTTACTGAAAGGGAACAAACGTCTGGTTGAATCGAGTTTGCGGCAGTCACGATTCGATTGTAAACACGCCGAGCACTTCAGAATTTGACAGAGTTTAATTGCATCGTGGTCATATGACACCGTCATTACGAAGGCAATAATTTATTTGCGCTTGCTTTGAATGGCAAGTTATTCATGATTTTAATGTTTAATGGCCTTCACCAGTGTTCCTTCTCATAGAATCGCTTAACTGAATTTATCGCCGCCGTCTAAACTCGAATTTGCATAATTGTATGTGAAAATTTATTGATGCAACATTCTCCATGGGTACTAACTGCCTTTGCAGCCGTTTATAGAAAAAGGGGCGAATTCATTGGGCGCATTTAAGGGCACTGATGGCCTAATATTTGGACAAACAAAAGTGCATTTGACCATTTCAAGGCTCCATGTTGGCATCATTGTTTCTCGATAACCTGCTGGACTTCATGTGACCTCGCTTGACCCATTGGGATCGCCATGTGATTCCGGCAACAAGGAAACGCGAAATCCAGCCACCGACTTTTCGATTGTCAATCAAGTACAGCTCCCTTCAAATAATTCAAGTAATTTTGGCAGTTGTTAGGTTGCATAACTTTGGTGTTTCGTGTAGCAGGTGGTTGATGTTTCAGAATGAGTTAGAATGACGTTATTGTGGGCCCCAGCATGTGGTCTTGAACCACGTCGGGACCACGGAATTAACCCTGGCCCGATTACGTTTACCTGATACCCACGATGAAGAAAAAGACCGGAGAGGGCGTGGACACAACCGTTTACTTCAGAGCTCAACCAAAACTTGTGTCGTGTGTGGGGTTTGCGCGTGTGTATTTATACCTCGGATGTGCGATTAATGGGTGGGCTAACATGGAGACCTGGGTGTGAGGATAATCCAAGATAAATATCCGTGGGAATGAGGGTGGAGTTGAGTATCCACGAGCCTGGCGCCATGCTGCGAAGAAGGGAAGCCTGTGTCGGAGGTGGAGCGACGGGTTTAAGGGGTGTGAATAAACACGAATCACACCAAAGTAAAACAAGGATGTATAAAAGTGCTAAATGCAGTTCTGATCAACTTCAAGGTTGGCGATCTAAGATTTGGATCAAAGAGTTCAGTCAGAGTGTGCTTTGCAAAGAAATATCCCTAAGTGGAATTCTTTGTTTGAAAAGCACCAATGCATGATTGGATTTATCGCGAAAAGGGGTCTTTGATGTTGTGTTCGCAGACTCAGAAATTCGGCCTGAAAGTAGGACACGGGAGCTTTCCGCCAACTGCTCCCATGGGTCACGTGATGCTAACCCCGTGGTGTGACAAGCACACGACTTCAGTGGTGGTGTGCTGGTCACATGATCTCGAATTCAAATGATTTTCCAAATCACTGATTGCTTTCTAGGCGGCCATTACAGAAACCACTTTCTAATTAATTAAGCGTAGCCATATTTTAAACCGACAATCATTAAAAAAAACATCTTGTCATTTCGGCCACTACCATGTGTTGAGAATTTGGAGTTTCTGATGTTGGAATAGATTCGCAGTTGGATGCTACTTGGAGCAGAACGAACACGCTTAGTTATTTACTGACGGTTGGTAGGGTGTTGACTGAACACTTCGGACGGAAACGCATGACAAGGTTGAGTCCATCACACTTGATACCTCACTTAGGTTTAAAAAAGCCTCGATTGCATAAGCGTCAGTGTCTGGGCACGTGCAGCATGCCGTCTCGTTGATGTTCAAACACGACACCCACCCATGTCTTAGCACCAACCGTGGTTTTACAACGTCTTCAAGACCGTGGAGGCCAAACACGGGAGTGTAAGCTAACTTGGGTCACGCGGTAATGCGTGTGCGTGCGTGCGTGCATTTAGTGGGCATGCTTCGGCATCGTACACATCACGTGACTTGAATGTCGTGTTTACCGTGGCGTGAGTGGCTGCAGCCAATTGCCCAGCCCGATTGTCCCCCATAGGCGGTGTCTTGTTTACACAAAACCGCGTCACATGTTTGAACACACCCCACAACACGTTGTCGAGTTTTTGAAACATTTGCGGTAAGTTTACTATCACGACACTCAGAGGAAGCACACTCTAGCCGCCGACTCGAGTTTGTTTGCGCTGACAGCTTTGTCAGTGGAGTGCCACAAACAATGTTGTTTCTTTTTAACAAAAAGTGAAAAATTTTAAAGCCTAACTTGGATTGGTACAGGCTGGAATCACTTCATAAGAAATACCGATCAAGTAGCTCGTTTGATTTAAAATAGCACAATATAAATATACAAAGGGCCTTGCATTATTTGCACTTTTTACACGCGGCGGGAGGAAGTAGTTCCGCCTAATATATAATTATTTAAACAAAGAGTCTGTAGATGCAATAGAAAATTACGCATCTTCATCTACGTCGAACCTTGTGATGTGGACGCCCTTTCGAACACTAAAATGGGATTTTTTAAAATGCGTGTTGGTTGACTCGCTAGACGGAGCTGTGCCATGCATCACAAACAATGACAGTGGCAGTGGACCAGTTAATGAGCCAGTTCAGGGAGTACGTGTCAACGCACGAAATAGTGAACTGGAGTCAAATAATCGATATCGGATTGTTGCCTTGCGCGGGGCCAGTAACGGCGCCATCGATCAGTTCATCCAGCGCAATCGCGCCTGCCGCCAGCACACACGAAATCCAATTAAAATTCAAATAAAAAAAGGACATTTTCTCGAATGCAGTCCACAATCTGAATGAAGCATTTCTCAATTTCACGAAGCAAAGCATTGAATGGTTTTAAAAATTGCAGTTCACGTTGAAGCAGACTCTACAATCACTGACTTTCTCATAATTTCAATGTGCTTCCCATATCACGGATTGTGCAAGTCGGTATTGAGTCGACTTGATTCTAGTGAACCGACTTCCACCAATCAGGAGGAAGTGATTGGGAATTGACTGCCATGCTTAGACCGAATTATTAAAGCTGCTTTGAAATACACAAACTTGTTTCCGAAAACTACATTGGTTTCAGTCTGGTAAACACACACTCGGGTTTATTTTTGGCATAAACACTTAGGGAGCATGTGCCGTTAACTCAAAATCCCTGTTCCGGTGTAATCAACTGTCTGCGAAAACAGCACTGTCCCGTGCAAGTTCCAAGGAAATTGCACACACCTCACCAAATTGTGACAAACCGCGTTGCCGTAGCTTCGGAAATTACAGCAAAAAACCCACGACCACTGGCCGCCAAAAGTTAGCGTAACAAACTCTCGGTAATAGATTTATTCAAACAATTTTTTGCAGACAGATGGTTGTAAAAAGCTTGAGATTGTCTCAGCTGTTGCGTAGGTGGAATCCCACACAAGATCATCGGAGTAGGAGGAATTGAATTGTGAAAGAAAGAGAAAAGCATGTAAGTGCCGTAGCACCAACCCCACTAGGTTAAATAATAGTCTCACTTTCCACATTAGGTTGGTAGTTAAAATTGACTGTTATGCTCAAGACTTGCTGAGCTTGAGCATCGTGATATCTTCGGCTATTAAGCGTGCTGAAATCCAACAGCGTCGTGGACGTTTTGAAGCCGTGGAATGGGTTTCGAAGCCGAACTCCAACCGCCGCCCGGTTACGTCACACAGAGGTGTCACTCGCGTGCGCTTAGTCAACGACGTTCGGACTCAAATTATTGACAGAGCCACGCCTCTTCAGTTGCAGACTTGTGCGCGGCAAAGCAGATACCTCCACCGTCCACCGGAGGTGGTTTAATAATTACCGCTGTAATATCAATTATCCGGCTGATTGAACCAAGGCCTGAACTAGATGATTTCTTGCTTGGCATTTCAAGAAATCCCAACTGAGAACACCCTCGTGTGCCGCTCGTTAAAATTCTTCCAACACCACAAGATTAACCTGACGGCACGAATGCGCACCCACCCAGAGCATGACGCACGGCCGGTACCCCATGATAAATAACCCAGGAGGCAGCCTTTAACCAGTCGGTTGGCTGGTGCAAATGGGGCCCCACGATTTTAGCCGACAATGCAACTTTGTCACGGCGTGCTGCTAGCAGAGGGACGTGCGCCTCTGCTCCGGAATCAAACACACACGACCCCCGGAACCAGGCACTAATTGCAGGCACCAAACGAATAGCCCCACTCGCTGTGTATCGAATGATCGCAATTAAATGCTGCGCAGTGCAGACCGGACACGTGCGAGCCAATGAGAGAGAACCCAATTGGTGTGTTCACAAAAGCAGGCAAACACACCATCCAAGAGGTAAAGTAGAAAGGAGAATGAAGGAAGTATTAGCAAAAGCTTGTTTAGCGTTTCTCATGCCTAATTCTCAGTCGATAAAGGTTACAATTTACTATTATCTGTTATTTCTGGGCAGTTTACACGATTTGTGTTCGGCGCGATGAGGGTTCGGAAGGATTTGGCACACGAGTTCTCAGAGGTCCAGGTCGAAGGTAGCGTCATCACCTAAACAGAGGGAAGAGGAGGAATTAGGGTAATTTGACGACTGGACCCATTGGCAAGTCCCGCATTACATCCATTCAGCTAGCAACACCTGCTTGCACTTTGCACGCGTGCGACGTGTTTAAATTAACACGATCTCTCACACACACACACACAGAGCGGTGTACATGTGCACCTATTTGCAGCGGTTGTTGATTGGTGAATCGGTAGCTTTCAGAAAGTTAGAGTTTAGCGCCAATCTCAATTAAGGCCCCATAAATTATAACCAGTAATAAGCACGTAAAGCAAACTGTGCCTACGCATTTTGTTCAGTACAAATGCGAAAAAGGTGCTTTAGCAGAAGTCTTGTCGACACTAGCGTAAACAGATAGGTGTAATTTTTTTTAAAATTCCACACATTGTTGCAGAATACAGGACAAGCAAACAAAGTGGACTCTGGTATGGAAAATAACTTCCATAACGCAAAGGTGTTCCCGATCCCAACGGGAATATTAAGGAAGAGTTACGTAGATTTCCTTGTGCAATTAAAGAAAGGAAATCTGCTATTAAATGACACGTGAAAATTACTAGTGCTTGATCAAGCCTGACGTTACCAGTGTTTAAATGCAAACTTGGAAAAATCAGGATGGTGCCTGGCAAATTTTGGTATTTTTTCGATCATACACTCAAGCCTGAGTTTTCCTCTATACATATGAGCCATATTAAACCAAAAAACACGGCCTTCAAAAAGTAGAGATCTGCGGTAGACTTGCTAATTTTTTTACGGTAAAAGCAAAAATGTACAGCTTTTTCAATATTTATGAGCATAAAAGGACAGACAATTTAAGTGGATAAGTGAACTGACCTTTATGTCCGCTACCATCGTTAGGCTTCTCTACAGATTCCTTTGGAGAATCTTCGGTTTTCTTCTGTGGGGCTGGCAGATTGCAGCCGCCGGTGCAAGTGGGGGGACAGATGACCCCTGGCATGCAGAACACGTTTGCTGGTGGTGAGCGGGCAATTGGCGAGTTTTTGTACAGGAGCATGGTGTCCCGGTCATAGTAGAGATGAGTGCCACCGGGAGTGGTGCTGAATATACTGCCACCAGGTGTCGTACTAAACGAATAGAATAAGGATTAGCATAATCACAAACACCGGACACAACTACGGCACTCAAGACTAGTAGTGGAGATTTATTGCATGAAAACAAAGCACCAAACGAAGACTTTTTTACGATGATTTTAGGCAATGTACAACTGGGAGGAAGTTGTGCCATATATTTGAGCCTAATCACAATGCATTAGGCAACAAGTTGTCGTGGAAAACATTAGAGATATGCAAACGACTCAAGCTAAATGCCCTGAAAGTATCTGTATAGTTTGTAGTCAACTGTCAAGGCCCATAAATAAGAAGAGTTCAATACAAATATATAGGGCAAAATATACCTGTAATCCTGGGGAATCTGAGATGGATCAGTGACTTTTATTCGGCGGAAAGGAACTGCACCCGAATCTTTATTATTGCTTTCCATTTAATAAAATATCTACGAACAAATGACAAGAGCACAAATGCGAGGCGAAACTAGGCACGATCTCTGACCTTGAACAGACCGGTTGAAATCAAGGTCACAATTTAAAGACAAAAATGCTGAAATATATTAATTGGACAAAAAATTATAAATGTTTGTAAAACAATAGGCGTTTTAGTTTTTTTGATATAATCAAGCCTTATAAAATGTTAGAATGTGCCAGTCACTAGCATTATATTAACTTTCAAACCACTTGAATTCTATAAGTGATTTCTAAAGGAAAATTTTCAAAAGAATGTGGGCGTTTAAAATATTCATTTATTTTCCATGAGGACGAAGTAATTTTTTTCCTAATCATTTGTGTGTTGTTCAACAGCACGTGGTCGTGAACCACGTTATAGCCACAGAAATAACTTTGGCTTGATTACCCTTCTTTGATATCTGCGATTAAGAAAGAGGCCGGAGAGGACTTTGACACAACCGTTTACTCCAGAGTTCCACCACGTTGGTGTCGTCGTGTCGCGTGTAGAGTTTGCGCGTGTGAGTTTATACTTAAGATGCGTGAGTCATAGACATGCTAACATCAAGACAAAGACAAATATTTTTGCGAATTAAGGTTCGGGAGTTGAGGATCTGCCCGGCTGGTGGCATGCTGAGAAAAGGGGGATGACCGGATTAAGAAACGCGACCGGAATGCGACTAAACACGATTCACAACAAGCGTTTATGCAATAAATGTTATTGCATTCGGTCAACACACGGAATTCAACCATTGGACTAAACGTTATAAGAACTTTTTTGCATTTATTTGAGGTGAAGTTGGCTTAAAAAAACTGATTTAGATCCATTTGGCGGTTTGCATATTTTTTTCTTAATGTTTATAATGCATTGTGTGGATTTACAGAGGCTACCTACTCTTCATTTATGACTAAACACAACAGAGTTTGAATCAATCTCAAATGAAGTTCCATCAAAATTAAGAGACAAATTTGCATGATTTTTACGTTTGCATGGTCAGATAATGTCGGATCTTAGCGTATATCATTAGTTTTTTTTTTATTAATGCGTATAGTATTGGGAACACAAAAATTAAATTCATGAATGTTTTCTCGGTTACTGCAGTGAACACAGCAAAGTCAGCTGAAATACTACATTTTTTGGTATAAAAGCATGATCTCTAGGCCTTGAACAAAGAAAAAATCTCTGTAACCACAACCAATATCTGTTTGTCGAAATTGAGTTTGTTTAAGTAAAGCTGAAGCAATAAGAATAATTAATTAAAAACCAATAATAATCTTTTTATTGGTGGCCTCCTTTACTAAGAATCCAACTATACATATTCAAATTAATTTCCTTGTCATATAAAAAACACATTGACTTGGAGGTACACATGGTTGAACAGTTTTGCTCTCTCGAAAACTCAATTCTAATCTAGACATAAATGTTAAATTGTTTTATTTTACAACTAGGCACCTATTATGGACATATTCTTCCTCACACATGACTGATAATTGGTAATTTGATAAAAAAAATGGATGTTTATATAATTGACATAATGTAGTGGATATGCTTCACAGAAACACCATTAAACCATTTTTAAAATGCTACCAAATCTCTACATTTTGATTAGGATGGAAGCAAATTGTGCTAGGAATGCAGAAAATCATTTAGGCAGCAAAATTTTGATTTGGTTTTCTTTTTACCGACCTCACCACCCTTTTGTAAAGATAAAATTGTGAAAATAATTCTGCAGTTTTACACTGCTTCTGTATCACGTTTAATTGTGCAAATAAGCATAGTCGTTTGTAGAAATTGAAAATTTCTTTTAAAAATTCATCCTAAGTTGGTTCATTTTTTGTTGATCGTGGCTTCAAATTTATTAACAGGACCTTAAACTCAGTTATTTCGAAATAATTCGAACCTTCTTTAATTCGCCACGCGTGAGTCTAAGCCGTTTACTTGTTCTTTATGGAGGGAAAATAGTGATTGAAATTCTACTGGCACACTCAACTTTATTTAAATAAAATGTTATGTTTTCGGCACTGTCAAGGTTACACCTGTTTTGGTCCAAAGCCAATCGGTGAGTAACAAGTCCTTAAATATTCCATTTTCACTTTTAATGCCTCTTAGTTAAGTGTTCATAGCAGACATTTCGAGTTACGACATAAAATATACGACATCTTTTGATTGCTTGGTCTAAATAACCACTTAATTTCCATACTCGAGAATCGATACGAGTGGGATATTTACACGACGTTGGAACACTATTTAATTGGCTCTTTTGTCTCTCCCAATGCGGAAATGCATTTCAACCGTTTGCCTACTCTAAGATCATGTGGTATTAGTGTTTCCACTGGTGAATATATCAAAGCAAATCGATCAAGATTACTTTGGCACCAAAGTGTGG